GCTTTAGCGTCTCATATTATATGTACAGCTTACAAATGTTTAATAAAGTATACGTAACTAGCCTGACAGAGGGCAAATATATATATATATATATATATATATATATATGATTTATTTTTATCCATATAAATCAACATATACAGTATATACAGTATATAGTATACGCAGCTCATTTACTAATATAAGCTGACAGGTACATAATCACCAGATGCAATGTAATCTTCTTTTATTGATTGTGTCAAGTATTTATTTTTGCGGTGCATCTAAATTGGTCGTGTGATTTACAATCTACGTATGTGTTTTCTTGATCACGTAAGACTCATTCTATTGTTCAAATTAAACATGTGAAAGCAGGACACCGATTAATATTATTATTGTTTTAAATCGTATCTGTTATTTACAAAAATATCATTACATGAATATACAGTATACAGTAAAAGACATGATTGATTTTATCATTTATAATATTGCATTCTATCTTTAAATATTCCTTTTTTTTTTTTTTTGTTACAAAACTGAGTTGAAAATAAAATCGGAAAAAAGATAATTTTTAATGGTCACACTCTATATACTACATATCAATAACCTAATGTATAATGTATATTTTTATATTCTTATGTTGTAATTTCCATAATTACAATTATATAAAAATTCAACATACGGTACCTAAGTAATATCAGATAAAATATAATCATAGAATATTTAAGTATAAAGAAATAAAGTTTAAAAGACCTTAGAAAACTTATGACGGAATTAATTTTGTAAAAGTCGTTCTAAAAAAAGTTACAATACTACATATTATAACGTCTAAAATTGAGAAGTAACATTGACAGTTTAAATTCTGTAATACACTGTATATATAATATAATAATAAATTTAATATTTTAATCGTATTATATAAAGCCTATACTATACGTTTTAGCACAAACATGGTTGATTCCAACCCTAGAAAACATTTGTTCGATTTTTCGTTTACTGTCTGTAAATTTCTTAATCCTATTTAAGTTCTTGGATCAAAATTAATTCAATATATAGGATTGAGGAAAAAGGAGACTTTTTTTTTTTTCGGTCAAGCTATTCTGTTAGAGATGTACAGTATATTTGATGTATACATACCGCATATTAAAGAGAACGAAAACTTATTGTTACCAATATTTTAGTTTATAAATTAGATATCATACGTATCCTTGGAATATAAAAAAACTTATCAAATTATGGCAAGGAAATACAGTATATACATATGTATTTAACAAAAATTATTACATCGACTTGTGTATTTACTGTATTTGCTAATAATTATGACGTATAAATTTCACAGTTGACCCGAAATAGCGCGCGCATTATATTAACTACACATTTCCAACATTAATTTTTAAATAAGAAAGTAAATATATTATCTATTCGATTGTCACAAATCCAATGTCTTATTGCATTTTTTAAAACGTAGAAATTTTCTTGAATGTCATGTCATATTTATGCGGCAACATTTGTTCTCTAGAATCGTATTCTGTGTGTACGTACTGAAACGACTTTCTATATGGATTTTCTTCTATAGTTTAACTTTCTTAATCGATGCCTTTTTGGAAATGGCTCATCGACTATCTTTGATTCGACAGTTTCATAGACCGATGACTTCGATCGTTGTCGAATGCTGTGTGTCGCTTGGTATAAAAGATAGATAATGTTGACGGCGAGTATAAGGGAAGATGAAATCAGCAATAGTAACGAAACCATGTCATATAACACGATACGTTGACAGTAGATTATCTGATGACGTAGCGAGTTTAACATCGGAATAAAAGTAATGGTGGTCGTTATAATAAGATCCAAAATAAAATGTTACGATAGGATGATGAACATTTATATCAATAACTCACCTGAATAACTAGCCGAGGAATATTTTTAATAAAAATGTTAACGCAGGATCCCCAAAAGATCTTTGAAAACGCATTGTTAAATATCGGAATTTGAAAGCAAAACCCAGTAAAGTTCGACCGCAACATCATCAAAACTTCCATATTAACCATCGCAATAATAAAGAATATAGGTGCGACCTTGCTGTTCTTATTAAACCATTTAAAAAATCTTGGTTTACGAATTTCTTTAATGATAACATAGAGGGTCATGAAAGCGTTAATTCCTAGTGGAACTACTAGAACGATTAAGCTTTAATAAAAACCATAAATACGTTATTATTATTATTATTAAAAAACCAGGGTTATTTACAATTAAGGATAAACCTCACCTCGATACGAAGAGTAGCGGTAGATTTTTTCCATTTTCAATAATGAAAATAATCTCGAGGATAAAGTCAGCTATAATCAAAATAATGTGAAGGACTATAAGGTTCTTTCTCTAATATTTTTATATGCCATGTTAAAATGATTAATAATCTTCATGTCTATGATGAATGAATAATGATTTAATAAAACTTACGCCAGGATTCCTCCGTTGCACCCAAAAGAAAATCAAAATACACAACGGGATAGCTATGAGAAAGCCGATAAATTCTATCCGGTACCTCTGCCACATACTAACAGTAATATTGATTTAATTAGTAACATAGCGGGGTGGAATAGTTAAACATAAACATCTTACCCAGGTAGCGGCACAACACCATAATTAGGGTCTATGTCCGTATCCATAATTGAGGCTGCGATATTCAAATAATGTATTGTCCCCAAAGCATCGATGTCATCTTCACTCTCTGGTGGTCCTATATCGACGGCAATAAGCATCGTTTCGGAATGGGTACCGGCGTCAACGATCTGGTATCTTGGATGCAAACCTAGACGAGATGACTTGAATCTCCCCCATCTTGCGATTTTACGGCGACATTTATCAAGGAAATCTGCTGGTGGGGGTATCTTGTCTTTGGCCAAATCGGATTTCATACGATACATACCGGTGATAGCTGCCGCTGTAAAAAAAGGTTAGATTGGTAAAAATCACGGGTCTTAAAATAAATTAATACTGAGATGTACCAGATTCAGGAACTTGAAAGCTGGCTGATTTAAATTAAAAAAAAATAAAAAAAAAATAAAGTAAAATAAATATCAACCATCAATTTTTATAACCAAGAACTTAAAATATTCACTGAACATTACATGTTTTGATCATCCAAATTCCCCGCATAATCCCTGGTAAAGGTTCTTGATAATTCTTACTCTTTACAAAATCATATTCCATATATATGGAGTATTGTTTTCCTGGTTGACTGAATGTACTAGCATTCAGCGGCACTGTAACCGTCAACCCATCTTCGCTAACATTACAATTAGTCCCTTGAGTCTTCTGCCAGAGTCTGGGTAAAGTTGAGTTAATAATTTGGTAAATTAATATATACCCTTCCGATAAATAAATAATATCATGGAAGGTGATATTAATATTAGTAGCTGCCTGCGAGATAACACCATTAATGCTCGGACTGGTGGTATTAACATGGAAATTATTGTATCCATGATCTAAATAATATTAAAAGAGGTGGAGATATTATCATAAACCCACCCCTAATATTTGAATAATGATCATTTACTAATCATACCTAAATCACCAAAAACCTTGGGCAATTGGTAGGTGAGTAAAGTCCAAGAGTTATTCGATTCCGGCTGAGCAAGTAAGAAGGTGTTATTGTTATTTGTGATACCACTCGCAGCAAAAGTATTTGCAATCATCGGTTGCGGTAGGTCAACAGAAATTTTGTTGTCATTCGCTCCGTAAGCATAAAGATAGTATTCAGTTGACCCATTTAATAATGATATTTTGGCATTCATCGTAAAGCCACCGAAGGAAATTTTTTCTACTGTCCATCTATCAAATCCTAAGTTTACATTTGCATTTGGAAGTAAGTCGAGTCCTGGAGAGTAGGATATTATTTCCCCTGACGAAAGGAAGAATACCTTTAAATAATAAACACCAAATCCGTTCTGAGTTATGGGGAATGTGCATACTAGGCCAACGCCGCTAAAATTAATGTCGCAGAAAACGAAGCCCTCTATTAAGCTGCTGTCGAGGGATGCGTGATATAAGATATATGGGCCGCTAACAATATTTTGATCGAGTTTCAAGAAAATCACGCATAACCTAGAAGGTGCTGATGACGATGATGTGCGGTTAACGTAAACTATAGCGTATCTATAATCATTGGTGGGTAATACGAAAGAACCGTAACCAGTGAAACCAGGAGTTTCGATAAAATTGTTTGATTGCAAGTCTAACGTCCCATTTTTACTAAGTGCGTAAATGGATTGTCGTCAAAAAATTAAATCTTATCAATATCAGAAAGTAAAAAGAATAAAATAAGCACAGTACTTATCATATCGCCGCCATTCAACTGCAGTTTCATTTACAGGTGCAAATCTAAGAAAACCGGGCAGATATGCGTTTAAAGTGGTGGTATAAGTTGGAAACCGGTAACCAATATACTGATCTATATGGGATAGACCATAGCGCAATGGTCTAATCAGATAAAAGAAATGGCAATCTAGTAGAAAAAGCAATTTTTTATCATAAGGCAAATGTGCAGTATCCTACCTATATTTATGACCGGACCAGTCTATTACCATTCCCCAATCCTCAAAAGTGTTGAAACCAGAGGAATTCGTTATATTCACATAATTTACCAGGATAAATGGACTATCCAAGGGAAATATGGTAATTGGATTTTTGTCGTTTGTGAATAGACAAAAATTTACGGGATCCAGCCCTAAATTCGTATTATTGATATTAATCTCTTTGACTGCACCGTCTAAATCGATAATTCTAAAAGATAGTAATTTCTCTAAGCAGGTGCACGATTCGTTTAAGTAAATAGATGAATCTGCACAATCGATGTCAGGGTTTATCCGGACAGTGCGGATGAGAATTGTCCCATCATCATAAGTTTTAAGGTCGGATACGCGAGGCGGTGAGTTAGGAAAGTCAGTGTTTTTGGAATCCTCTACGTAGGTAAAATATTTCTGAGATTTTACGAATGAGAGAAGGCATGTCACAATTAGAGACAGAGACAGTATAATAGAATCAAAAGTATTG